CTGACCTCATACGTCATCAGCCCGGAGCTGCTTCCGTGTACAACTGTTGGCGCAAGCTAGATTAAAGTGATTATTACATTTTGAATATGGATATTTGTCTTACAAAAATGCATCGATTCACTACAGGAGGCCTTTGTTCACCCCCCGGAGCCGTGTGAGACACTTTTTTTATGGATTGGCGCTTTTTATTTCACTTCTTTTGGACTAAAGCACTGCAACACCTGCTGACAGCAATGATAGAGCTTGGAATAGCCAGGACAATTTTTTATATAAGTCCGACTGGATTCGTCTGAAACAAGAAAGTCATATACACCTAGGATGGCTCTGGGGTGAGTAAAACACAGCCTAATTTTCATTTTTGGGTGAACTAACCCTTTAAGGAGTCCGAGAACCCCTTGTTCCAGCCATAGTCCAGTAGGTCCTGTATTATATATATGTGTGTGTGTGCAACAATATTCTGTGTAGCATATTGACTAGACAAAAAACAACAGCCCTAACATGTTCCACATTTTTAAATATACCACTATTAGGAAATACACGAATATAGTACCATTCAAAAGTTTGGGGTTGGTAATTTAATTTCTTTAAAAAAATATCCAGCCATTTTCCAAACTGCTTGTCCTTTGTAGAATCCAGGGGATGCTGGAGCATATCATATAAAAAAAATATATAATAATAATTATTAACATATTAAACTGTCTATTAATTATTACCTTGTCTGCTCTGAATGCAAATCAACATTAGCAGTCATGTCTCAGAATTGGAGCCTGGCAGAGGACATGAGGAGACAGTTATAAGATCAGACAACTGCCTTCTGGAGTGGACCTCTTGAATTGGCTGAGATGTGCAATATAGAGGAGGAGGGAAAGAAAGAGATATCTGGATGGTTAATATGCGACATGTTTGTCTTGCATGACAAGCTAAAATAAATCACAAATAAATAAAAGGAGAGCAGAGTTGTCTCAAAAGCCCTGTGCACTTATGTCACTTTCTGAAGTCACCCAGATATTTAGAATAACAAAAGCAGTGGAAAGGACACTGGAGTTTCAAATTGGGTAACGGATCTGCTGTATGTCTACCATCATCACATTCCGTCCAAAGATCTGACCTTTCCATAGTGTCTTGTGACCCGTATGTCTTGGTTAATTTCTTGCTTAGCTCACTCTTCTGTACCCTGGGAAAATATCTGCTGATGAGATTGAGATGAAGTTTTTCACATGTTGTTCAGCAGTGATGGCAGAGACAGCTGTAGCCTGTGTACTGAAGCTGTTTGAATCTTTGGATGGGAATTCCCATGGTTATAAGAGAAGGGGAATTTTAACGTGTTAACGTTCATGTATCATGTTTTACAGTGGTGTAGCCATAAAAATAAGCTGTTTTAAGAAAAATAGGCTTAATTGACTGAATATGTCATGACTTTTAAAAGTAGTTTTGCTTATTACTGTTTTGTTTATTGTCTGCTCAGTCTCCTCCACTGAAGGATCTCATATTGTTGTACTTGTGAGAACATACTCAGTGTGCACTCAGCATGGAGCATATCACATGTTTATATTCGTCACACCGGGTACGCATGTCAAGACCTCTGCATTGGCACATGGGTGGGGAGTACCGCCCCGTTGCGTGTCCAAATTACCCCCTGGTCGGCAGTAAGGAGCTTAGATTACTCACGACTGCCCAAGATGTGATTCATCTGCTGGTAATAGCCCCATGACCACGACATGAGAAATTCAGTCTGTGGTACATCCACATATTTATTGATGATCATGTTAGGTGTGTTTAAAGACATTAAAACAGTTTGGCCATCAAGTACAGCCACACACACATACACACACACACAAGCACATTTCCACATCTGAGAGGCTATTTTCGTCCATTTGGTGTATCATATTTCATTCCTTCACTCATGCTGAGGGCAGATTTCAGTCTTTCTCATCTTGCTGACAGGCTATTGTATTGATCAGGGTCCTTCAACCATTTTTAAAAACCCTTTGGTGATTTCAAGTCTGTTGTTCACTGAAAAAAAATGGAAGTTACTTGGTTTTATTCAAGTCAAAAATATTATTTAAAAAAATATATATATTAAAAAAATATATATATTATCAGTATGGCTAAACCTAAATACATTAATTTAATTAAAACAAAACTAAATTTTATGGCTTAAATCAGATGAATCCCCACAACACCCTACGTCAAGCAAATTGTGGCAAAATCGTGCTAAAATCGTGTAGTCTGAACCGGGCATGACGTGATACCCGCGATAGCCAATGAGAGCAAGCAAGCGTCACTCACCGGATGTTGCGTGCTTTTATAGCTGAAACCTGGCAGCCACAAACATAAGACAATCTCTGAAACATGCCATGAAAGCAGAGAACATCACCCATATTCTTTTCTATCCAGCGTTTGCTGGATTTATAATTAAAATTTAATGCAAGTGCACCGCGGGGACGCACTCTCTTATTTCTATGTTTTTTAGAGGGGTTGTTTATGCTCCCTGGCTTGAGTTTTACATCACGCAGAACCAACATAATTGCGCTGAGCAAACGTGTGCAGTTTTTGATCTTATTACGGCGTGAGATGTGTGTTAGGCTGGAAGCACACTAGAGGATTTTAAGGCCGATTTGCACCCCCGAACGATCGGGGGGGTGGCCCGATTCGCGGCTTGTCGCAAGCGATTTTTTGTCCAAAAAATCCTCTATTGTATGGTGTCATTACGATTATTTAACTGCTCCCAATCGAGACGGAGCATCCCCGAACTCAAATCATAAATATCAAACATAAATATCATAAACATGCCATGAAAGCAGAGAACATCACCCATATTCTTTTCTATACTTTGTTTTTCACTGTAACACAGAACGCATGCGGGAGAGTCAGCTGACAACATTGATTGTCCTCTATTTGTTTTTCTTCTCTAGTCACATTTGATCTCGCGAGTGTCGTCTAATCGTGTGTGTGTGCGTTCAGAGGATTATAAAGCTAAAAATCTGTTGAACTGTCTTCTTGTCTGTGGTCTCCCATGGTTTTAAAATCGGTTAAGATTTGAAAATCGTCTAGTGTGCAGCCA